TATGTAAAGTTTGGTTCCCATGTTTAGGAACTTCAGCAAAGTTGTGTTACTGGATCAACGATAGGTTACTGTGTCGCGCTTTGGTTTCTCATCATGACTCATCGTTTAGTTGGCGTGGAGCACGAGAAACGTGTCTAGCCTAAAGAACCGATTCAGCTCTCTGGCTGGCAAGACAAAACTCGCATGCATGAGACAGGTGGTTAGGCAATACATCCAAATAAACAGGTCTGCTCCATATATCCTGGCTCAGCGAGGCAACACATTATCTGGCGACGGAACCAAACAGCTCTATATATATTTTCACATTTAGGCCTAGTTTAGATTGCAAGTTTTTCAGAGAAAACACTCTCTCCATCACAAAAAGAAGCAAATCTTTTAAGACATATATTTTCACATTTAGTATTTTAATTCGAAATTTTGGAAAAAATAACTAATTACACTTTTTTTATTTGTAAATTAGTGAGACAATCATGGATCTTTTAGGCTCAAAACGTTAGGCCATGAATTTTCAACCAAACTATGCAATTAGTTTTTTTCATCTATATTTAATGCTCCGTACACGTATCACAAGATTCGATGTGATAGTTACTACAACACTTTTTGAAAAACTTTTTGAGAACTAAACAAACCCTTAGTAAGGGTCGTAGCATAGCAGGTGTATTAAGGTAAATAGTTCATTGGCTTCTGTAGTCAAGCGAGTCACATCACTGGACATGATAGATAGCTACTAGCTAGTTATTATTATTTTGATGTGGTGAAAGCTCTTTGTGCAGGTATACAACCTGTTCGGGAGACCGTATCGTATCGTGAATTATTTATCGTTGGCTAGTTTGATGTGAGAGAAAAATACTATTTCCAATTAAAAATTTACTATCATTTACGAACAAGCGAACAGACAGTCGTCACAATGATGCCATTGCTCAATAAATTATGCACATAGCATATTTCGTCAACCATGCCGGTTCGGAGGTTCAAGGGTAAAAGTGCTGACATAATTACAAGAAAAACCTCTTGCTTACTCTTCTTACTTGTCTTACTTTATCTTACGTGAAACGAAAGATCTATCTAGTTTTGGGTATTCATCTTGCTCAAGTGTCACAAGTTAATTAGACAAAGCAAGAATGTGGATATCTATAGTTTATGTTTGGTGGCTTGGAATCTTTTGTGTCTTTATCATATCCCCACTATATATGTACACATGTATGGTTGATATCCGGATGATTTATTCATATTTTTCAGCTGGGTTGTCTTTCAGCCTGTTCAGCTGGTTGGTTTTTAGACTGATAAGTCCAGCTAGTGCTGATTTGTTGTGAGAAAAAATACTATTAACTGGCTGATAAACTCTGGCTGAAACCAACAAGCGAACACGCTGTTTATATACACCACACACATTTATTCAGGGAACGAATGGTTTATCTCACTGTCGGAGAACTACATTAATAATAAAACAAAATAAGAAAACAATGGTACAAACCCGAAAACATAAGTTTTATCCTAAGCTAAATTTCATTAAGGCCCTGTTTGAGTCCTTGGAATTGAATTCATTTTAATAATAAAATAATTTAGACACATATTAACTAAGATAATATGGTTGTATATGAATTATATTTATATATTATTATTGGCTATATGAGAGAGATATTTAAGTTTTGTATTTCTACCATAGGGAAGTGAGTTAAAGAGCGTATTATAAGTTGCAAAGTAGAAACATAGGATGATAATATATAGAATCAATTTCTATCTCCTGCTCCTATGAATTTGAGATAGGCTTATATGTGAACTTTAAAAGTGGTGGAATATCAAATTCCAAGCCAAATAGCATAATTTATTAAGTAGATTTTAATTCCTCCAAATAAAAAGATCCAAACGGCTCCTAACTTTGATCATTAAATTTATAGAAAAATGTATGAATATCTACAATATCAAATTAATTTTATTATTATTTTCATAAAATATGTATAGACACTGTAATTATTTATAAGTACGTCTGTAGATGTTGATATATTTTTTTATAGACTTGGTTAAAAATCATTAGAGAAGTTTACTTAGGTAAGACAAAGCCAAGGCAAACTATAAGGAAAAAGGCAAACAAGATATACTATATCTCGCTTTCTCCACTGCAGCAATTTACCGGAGCTGAGTGTGCTGAGTTGACCCCAGCTGGTAAATTGACTTGTAAGTTTAGTGCAGCTTCAATCGATTGATCACCATCATGCATCACACAAAACAACTTAATCCACTAGTTAGTGGCGATCGACGGATCGAGGCCTTACCGTCATTCAATTAGCACCACAAATCCACAATTGATGGCGGCATTATTGGCGGCGCTAGCTGCCTGATGAAGCTCGAATATATAATTATACTGAAGGCCCCTGCAGGCGAGGCTGTCGCTTTCGCACGCTACGCGCGAGTCAAAGATTAGATATGTACGGTTTGGTTTTGTTCCTCCGACGATCCGCGTTCTTCTCACGCTCATGCTCATCTGATTAGGGACAACCTGCAGCTGCAGTGGGTGACTTGCTTGGCGGTGTACGTACGTAGCTTCAGAGAGCTTCTCGCTTAGCCATGCATTATATTCCACTTGATACTGATGTACAATATAGATTGTTAAATTGGATAGATACACCACGCATTGTGTAACCATCCTGAGCATGGACAGACAGGACAGCATATTATTTTGTTAATGAGTCATGGAAGATATGGGAAACATTCTTAAAATGTTAGCTATATATAAGCGACTTGAGAGCAGATTGGACATGGTCACATGCATGGACATGATCCTATATATAACGCTGCTCGTCGTTTGCGGTGCTGGGTATGTACTCCTTTATCTCCCAAATTGTAAGTCGTTTTGAATTTTTTTTTAAAAAATATATATATATATTAAAAAAATTAGACTCAACGACTTACAATTTGGAATGTACTCCTATTTATTTTCTTTGCTCGACACCGAAAGTTAGACTTTGATAACAAATTTCCCCATACACAAATAATCTTCAGGTAAAGAAACAATAGAATACACTGTTCTTCATATTTTTAATAATCTGATTATACGATATTATGTACTAAATTTACTCGTAATTCAAGTAAGTGTTAGTTAAAATATACAACCCCTATTCACAAAAACATGATGCTAACGCTAAGGTTTGGTCAAATCTTTTAAAATTACAAACGTCAAAAACTTTTAAATTATTTAATTTAAAAACATGTAAGTCATATGTGTGTATATCTGTATCCAATAATGCTTGTACAATCGAATGAATTTTTTTTAAAAAAAAGTTTAGATTATATTCAAAAAATCATTTTTAAAAATTGTATGCATCGAGAATCATGCAAAGTAAAGTGTGACTATTGCTTTTGCTCGAGGAGGTAATTAATTTTTTACGAAACAAAAGATAACATGCATTACTTTCATTAATATTTGCAATATTATATTTTTTCATGATTCCGTAGTGGTTCGGTCAAAATACATGTTGTGCATGAATTGGTTTGTACTAGGAACGTAAAAAACATACCGTGGTCCGTAGTTTTGTCTTGAAACACACTTCCATAAAAAAAAGAATTTCTTCAACAATTGCCTGTGTCCAAAACAATAATTTATTACTTCTTTTTAGTGGAATACTAATTTATTACTACTACTACATTTTCCCCATGCAACGAGCAATGTTGGCGCCTCTTGACAATTCCTGTTGTGGGAGTGTGTGTGGTGTTGGGGGGAGGGCTTTTGACGCCCACGCCTGCCCCCTGTCCCACGTCCTGTGCCTGTCTGCTCACGTCTCGCCTGCTGCGCCTGCTCGCAAGCACGTGGGGCCTGCCCCATGCCAGTGGGGACCGCCTCCGCTCGTTTTCTGCGTCTGACACCTAGGCGAGACAAAAGAAAGGCTAGGAGAAAGATACAATACACGATCTAGTTTTGAAACATTCAGATGTAACAATTGCAATATACGTCTGAAAACAAATAAAATATTTGAAACATACATCTGAAACACTTGCAAAAACACCTGAAAAACATTTGAAACATTGTAAACATACGCAACATTGCATCCAGATAAAACACTTGCATCATATGTGTGAAAACTTATGCAACATCCAAATAAACACACTTATAACATACGTCGGAAAAAACAGATGAGACATTGAGAACAGGAGTTTGCAACATACGTGTACAACCATTGCAACATATGCAATATCCCGATTTACTTTTGCAACGTCCGTATGAAACACTTGCAAAATACCTATGAAACACTTGAAACATGCGTTAGCGATATGGGGAGGCGGGCGGGTCGATTCAAATGTCGGGTCGAAGTTTAAGCGAATAAGTGGCGGCAAGACGAGCACCACAAGCACCCAAAGACACTAACGCGGCGCACACCACCACCACCACCACCACCAAAGACTGGGCTTGCCTCACCGGGAAGCGACGCAGCGTGATTTGGTGAGCGCGCAGCAAAGACTAGCACCGTGGCTGGCCGACGGGAGGGAGAGGGAGGCGCATGCGACCAGGGGGGGCACATTCGGCGCGCTAGGGGAGGGAGCCAGAGGTGCGCGCAACGGGGGACAAGGAGCGTGCGGCACGAGATGGGCGCGCGGCAGCAGCGAGGCGGAGTAGCAGCCGCTATGGGCGGACGGCACGGTGGAGGCAGTAGTTGTGAACACTCTAGCGCAGGAGTTGGGAAGGCTGCCTGGACTGGTCCGCAGGTCCATTAAGCAAGTGCCCGAGCATCCGGACACCCAGGTGTAATCGTTTCCCTTCCTCTTCCGCGATACACCTGGAAAGCCCAAAATAGCTCTTCACAGCCCATGTTCTCGACATGTGCACCCGACCACAAACGGCCCATATTTATTTTTGCTTTCCTTCCAAAAAAATATATAACAGCAAAAAATGAGGCGAAAAAAAAAAATGAAACACAGGCACCACCGGAACCAGAACCACAGATGACAGACTCAGACCCCACAGACTGACAGACTGCAGGAAGGGAAGGGAAGGGAAAGGAACGGACATGGCGGCGGCCGGCGGCGAGAGCATGATGACGAGGGAGCAGCTGCTCCACCTCTTCTCCCGCTTCTCCTTCCTCACCTCCCTCCCCGGTGGGTCCCCGTCTTCGCCGCATTTCCGGTTCGCTCCCCATTCGGTTTTCCCTAACCTCTGTTCCCTGTCCCCGCGTTCCAGAGGTCAAGCAGCGGATTGCCGACGCTGTCAGGGACAAGCAGGTGCGACGCTCGCAATCCGGGCGCCATTTCCGGTTCTTTAGATTAGCGCTCTCATTGTCTCCTGTGACTTGTGCTCGTCGGGGGGCGGGGGCGGGGATGGGGGGCGGGGTGTTGGGTTTTCTGCCTGTCCACATCTTTGGGCTTTTGGCTGATTTAGCTTGACGTTTCACTTATACAGCTCGATTGCCTTGGGTCACTTCAAAATTTTAGTTTGGGCCTTGCGATGTGGGAAATTGTGAAACGATTATTCAGTTTGTTTAGCACAAATTTGCATGTGAAGGCCTGGACATGTATGTGAAAGTTACAGTGTGTTTGTGCTTTGTTCTCCCTGTAGGAGGCTGTGGCCGTGACCACTGAAATACAAGAGGAGATTCTTCGTGAGATGGGAGTAGGTACGCGAATTGCCTTCCACTTGAACACCATGTTGTCTCTCTGAGGTTTTCTGTAGGCTGTAGCATTTAGGCATGTACTAGTTTACAATGATTGGATGCAGATGAGGAGTAAGAATCAAATTGAGAAAGATGATGCATCTACTATACGTATAAAGAAAGAACTGCAATGTAACACCCTGGACTTTTGGCCATGTTATCATATCTACAGCTACTGATATCATGATGTGACACCATGTAACATATGCTGATGTATGTGCGTTTTGTAGATTCACTGATATGGAATTAGCTGGGTATTCTTCTTTTGACAATGTTTATTATGGTATTGTGTGTCATACATGTGATTTAGTAAATAGCATTAATGCCCACCAGTTTGGTTCTTAGTCATGATATATTCAATGTTGCCCATTGATTTATTGATTCATAGACCAGTTTATTTGTTTTTTTTTTCTCGAACACGTAGGAGAGCTGTGTATCATTATATTAAGAAAAAAAGGGGAAGAACCCTAGACCAGTTTATTTGGTTATCAGGAACTTTAGTCTTTGGGTCGATTATATCTGTAGTCTACTAGCATGTTTATTACAATAAGTGAATAATTGATCTATAGTAGACAAGGATAAAGAAAAATTCAACTATATATATTGCAAGAGACAGAACACTTGTTTTTAATGATAATGGCGTATATGTTTTTCTACATCAATCACTTTTATTTCTTCTAAATAGAGCTTATCAGTTTTGTCTTGATTGAAAATGGCATGTCCATGGCAGTAGTAATTTAGAAGAACCATAAATAGCAGTAGGAATATAGAACCACAAGAGTTAGGCTATGTTTTTAAAATCAGGAATCTAAATAATCTATCATTCTATTTGAAGCTGCCAAATGGTGAAGGAAAAACTGTATATATGTTCGTAGTTGCTATTTTGATTGTCTTCAGAAATTGGTTTGCTTCAGGATTGAACTCTATTAGATATTACCATTTTCTTTAATGTTTTGATGAAGGTTTTTTTTTGGCTATGATTAACTCAATATTTGAAATATCTATGGCACATGAAGGTATAACATTCACTAGTCTTGTCTATTCATGCAATCATGCACAGATAAGTTAAACATTGTAGAACATAAAATCCTTTTACTCTGCCTGCTTTGACATGCCAGGCATAACCTACAAATTTACTATGCTGGATTGCTGGTCATTGCTTTTTGTATCAAGTAGTTTTGCTGAGTACTTGATTGCTCATTGGTTTAGGTCAAGATCCAATGATATAATGCTTGTTGCATTTAAATAATCTAGATTTCTAGTAGTGTACTTCTCAAAAGAATATTGTTTATTTCCTTCACATTTCAGATTTGTTTTTAAAAACGATTGTACTCCTCTTAGCCTTAGTGTGGAAATCAACAATTTCTGACATGATGCATCTTGACATGTTATTTCTGCATGTCAGATCCAAGTTTCGGTATTGGTTGCCTAGGAAAGGTCAACATTGTTTACGAAAATGACAAGGACTTGATGATTAAATTCTATCAATTTGTTGCCAAGTAAGTGTCTTACATGTTGGTCCCAATAAGTCTAAAATAGTATACCGTAAGAAAAGAAGGGGGCAGTGATGATAAAGCTTAGCATTTCCCTTAGTTAGCTAACATAATGCTGGTGAGCAGCAATTTTATAACTCTTTCTATATTTTGGGTTGACCTGTCTAATCTTGTAGTTACAATCATGGATGGTACTTTATTCGGTTTCAATATTAGTTCCATGTTTCCCTATACATTTAATAGTAGGGAGGAGCACTAATATAAGTATACTTATATATTAGATATAAATATGAACATGAACCACACTAATGATTTTGTATTATATGTTAGTTCTTGATTCGTTTTAATAGGAAATGAGTAATCAATTAGATGAGTAACCTTCGCACAGAACAAGATGCATAAGAAAAACCATGTGAAAACTGGTGTTATAACAAGGAAATGTTGTGGCAACACCTACTCTATTACATTAGAGATTTACAGCAGAGATTCCTAGAGTAAATGTGGTCAAAGACTCATATTTACTTTTTTGTCATTTTATTTAATAGAGAAGAAATGGCTATTGATGAAGCTGAGCTTGAACCCAGAGAATTAGCTGAAAAACTACATGCTCAACAAATAATACAAGAACAGGTGAATAGACACCTTCCACATTATTCCTGTTGAAACATTCGTGTTATTTGTTGTTTTGTTGATCAAGCTGCTAATTACATGGTGCGAGATATTGCTCCAGCAACTGAACATGCTAGTTGAAATGAGGAAATATAGCCCAGAGAGCCAATCTGTTATACTTGGGACTGTATGTGCATCTTCCTCATCCCCATTCCCCTTCCCCCAGATTCTAGATTAAAAGAAGACATACATGTTTACTTGCCTGTAATCCTTTTGCAGTTGCACAAAGAATTGGAAGAAGCTAATTTTGACATCAATGCATCGATCTTGAGTCCAGAGCAAATCCAACAGATTGTTCAAAAGTGATATATTTCCAACAGATGAGATTAGTACCTGCCTTGTTTGTTCATGTGGTGCTTGTGTGTCTACCTTTGTATAAATTGCTAAAAAGAGCGAGCAGTCCTGTCTATTTGATTTCAGGTGATTACACATTGTATGTTGAGAAATGTAGCTGTTACAAGTAACCCTGTAGAACATACTCATTTTGCAGGGATGTAACACATTCTGAATTTTGCAAATATGCTTCTCGTGGATGCTCCTTAGCCTTTTCGGAGTTACAAATATTGAAGCACACTAGAAGTGTTGATTCTCGCTGTTTGAATTCTTTATGAAGTCTCGTATAAGGCTGAAGAAAAAAAGGACTGCATAACCTTGCTTTGTTTATATATTGTATATGTGCTGACCCATTAGCAATCTTTAAACTGGAAGAAGACATGTAATAAAAAAATCTGTCACAAATCATCTTAGGTTTGTTCAGTCTTGTAAGATAGATAGCTTTCTGCCCAATCCCATCAAGGGATGCAAGGCGGGTTATCCACGAACCTGCAAATAGACTCTGAACTAATTTTCACCTCCAGATATAAAACAAATAAGCACCTTTGGATAGCCATGCAGTACTGAACAAAAGCTCAATCCATCCAATGATACTACGATAACTTTGGCCAAGATTCTGGCAAATGAATTCTGAGAAAGCCTAAGATTCCTCAAGATGAGAGAACATACAGATACTAGCAAATGAACTCTGAGAAAGCCTAAGATTCCTCAAAATGAGAAACATCAAGCAATAAGTTCAAACAGATCTACAAATATCTTTAGAGTAGCAGCAAAATTGAGGAGCATATTCACATCAGAAAACATAACATGAAATCAGCTAGCGATGGCTAATCCCTAGATCAGCAAGTCCTGCACAAGTTTTGATATCTTTGCCAGGTTATCAAATTAAAAAAAATAAAATAAAAAAACTCATCCAATGGAAGTTACACATATGGTTAGTTTGATGACTATTGTAGCACCTTCCAACCCTTTAGATCCTCCGTTGCTATTCCAGATGCCCCTAATCAAGCCATACTACGATAATGGACCTGACTGTGCAGCAAGAAAGCAGTTCGCACCAATCTTTCATGTGTAAATCTGCAACCAATCTGATCTTCAGTAGACCTGTCTGACGTTGATATTTATCCTAGAGTTCTTGATATAGTCCAAGATAAAGACATCATCTCCACTGGATAGTTGTGAAATCAGTGCAGAGATTTCTTGTTGATCACTCTCTGTGAAGATCCGTGGTACACCTATGAAATGTAAACCAAAGGTCAAAATAGAAATGAAATGTTATGTTCTATGGTGTTCTAAACTTATTTACAAATAACTTTCATTTCATAACATAAAATACCATGGAAGCGTTCTCGTGCTTCCCCAGCCATCAAAACTATATCACCGCTGCGCAGGAACATTGCTGTTGGAACTTCATCTCTTGTCTTTCCTCCCAGAAGAAAGATGCATTTGCAGCCCAAACTAAAAGAATAAATGGCAACTGATAAGACGCTATGTTTAGAAGAAGTAAAGATCACGAAAAAGGTAAGAAGCTGGACCATCATACCTTATGCTTACAATAGGTTTTGTCCAACATGGCCACCAAGCATGTCACCTACATCAATCAAAGCTTAGTATTTCAGTGCAGAAATGAAAAGAGCATGAATACAGCTCATCAAGACAGCTCCAAAGAAAATGTATCAATCTAAGGCATTCGCTATCTTAAGGGACAAGCTATACATACTTGGACCATAATAGTTCACTATAGCAGCTTCTGGCTTGAATTCTTCTCCAGAAGGCATAGCTGGAATAGCCATCTTTTTTGCAAGACTAGCTAGAGCATCTGGAATCTTGTTGTGTGGAAGTGATACATCATAGTTGCGCTGCCAAAGCATAAGGATTTTACAAAAGAAAAAGGAAAATGAAGACATAATATGCTACTTCTAGCAACGGTTTGCACAAATTATGCAGTCAAGCAAGAATCGAATATAATATTTAACCTAGTGTCATAACAATACAGGTTATATCCACCAGCGAGTTTTTTTTTTCAATACAGGTTATATGGCCAATGGCTGTCCAAATATAGTTTCACCTGAACAATTATGAACTGGCAGAATAGCTCCTTAAGTCAACTGCTATGTGAAAGTCCTTACAGCTGTAATATTCTGTTATGTGCTCTATATTACTAACCTTGGGGATTTGAGAGAATGATCTCCATTAGTGGAGATGACAACTATATAGAGAGCCTCATGGGCCCATAGCATGGGCCTTGACATACAGTTAACAGCCCCTTCTAACTCAAGGTGGAAGCAAAGGATCTGAAGTGGATGCTGCTCTCGAGATTATGCTTTAGCAAAAAAAATGTGCTACTTGCAACTCTGATTCTGAGGACACATACTGAAGAGAAACTCTGATGCCAATGAGTAGGTGAAGAAGGCATCAACACCGATATGCTTGATAAGTTCATATTTCACAGGATCATTGGCAATCTCAGGTGTGGGGCACCACAGGAAATACTAAAATCAGCTAGCAACCATCGAAGCCATACAACCTCTGCAATGGTAGTAGCAAGTGCTCGAGCGAGATACAGTGGCTTGTTTCCTGGACTTCCATTAAGAGAAGAACCAAGAAGAATGCAATAGCCTATGAGAGCGGTGATCTGTGGGGTTACTCACCCAAGTGGAGTCTGAGTAAGCATGAAGCTGAAGCGGATTACCATGAGCATAAAACCAACACTGAGATGATGTCCCCCTTAATCTCAGCACACGAAGCAAATGACCAAAAGGAACAGAAGTATGGGCACTCACAAACTGACTTAGACTGAAGAGCATGAGCCATATCAGGTTTAGTAACAGTGAGATAAACAAGGCTATCCATAATATAAAGGTAGCAAGAAGGATCCTCAAGAGGTATACCATCAGTAGCATGAAGCTGCAAGCGCAGATCTATCGGTGTTGCACCCGTGCAATTATCAGTGGAAGCAAAGGAATTGCACAGTAAAAAAAAAAGATAGACTACAGAGCCATGGAGTACATGTACATATATATGCAACGATCATCTACGGTTGGTTTATAGAAGTATCACCACCATTGGATATCCTTGCCTATCAAGATTAAAAACCAATCTATAGAAAACCATATGGGCTCAAGGCCCAGGCTCGACCAATAGACATGGCCAATAAGGCCTGGCCGGCTATCTGTCTAACAATCAGTAATGGTCATAAGAACGGCTCCCCGGCGGCAGGGCGACACGGAGGCGACTCTTCTTCCTTCCTCCTCTCTCCAACTGCTACGGAGCAGGGCGACGGTGGCTGCAGGCGCGGAGGGCGGCGCGCGAGAGGTCTTCTTCGCGGGAAGCCGCGACGGTCGGGGACGAAGCGCGTCGGCGGCGCGCCCTAGGGCACGGCGAGGTCGCCGAGGTCGGTGGCGGCGCCTTGGCGTCATCGGCGATGCAGGGGCGATCTCCTCGCTTGCGTCCGGATCCGGGGTCCAGGACCGGATTCGCGGTGGGCGCTGCGCGCGCGCAAGGCGACGGCGGCGGTGGCGGCGGCTCTGTCCAAGACGCCGGTAGTCGCCGATCCATGGTACGGCGCCCGTGGTGCGGCGCTGCGCGCTTAAAGCGCGCCGCGTGTGGCGGCTGCGCGTCGGCTTTGGCGGGCTCTTCCTTCTCCTCGCGCTTCGGCGATTGTTGGCGGCGTGCGCAGATGAGCGAGCGGCGGGCGCGTGCCCTCGCGCGAGCCGCGTGGGCTTTGGCGGGCTACTAACTGCGCGCGGCGCTGCCGCTGCTGCCGTGTAGGTGCCGGCGGTGGCGGGGGGCCTCTTCTCCCTCCGCTTCTTCTTTCCTCCTCGACCATGGCGTGGGGCGGCGGCGCCCAATGGGGACACACTGGTCTAGCACCGACGGCCAGATCCGGTGCCCCAGGCGGCGGCGCGCCTGTGGTGGGGCATCGCGCTGACGACGGTGGTCGGTTGAGGTCAACAGCGTCGGCGGCGGGTGCTTGAGCCGGCGACGACAAATGGCGACGGCGGCTTCGGCGGCGCGTGGGGGGCAGCGTGGCGGTAAGTCCAAAGACGCATGTTGCTCGGTCGGAGGGGGTGGCGGCCGACGTAGCTGCTGTGGGCAACCGACGCGTCGATGCCCCTCTAGAGAGGCTTCGCGGGATGGCGATGGATTTACGATGGTGGCGGCAGCTTAGGGTCCGGCATCTTGGCTCGACGATGTGTGCTAAGCACGCCGGCGAAAAGCCTTGGCGACGGCGACGCTGTGGGCGCCGATTTCCTTGTTGAGGCGTCGTGTTCGTGTTCTGACCATGTCTTCCATCGGTGGAAACCCGTCCATTCCTGGACAAGCGACGGTGGCGCAATCGACGTCGTACCCTTCCTGAAGGCGTCACTGTGGAAATTCGCCTTGGCCGTGATGTCTCCTTCTACGGATGTCCTCCGCCTCTCGGCGCCTTGCTTGATGCGAGACGACGAAGTTGTGCATCGTGAAGTCGAAGTTGCTGCGATAAGGGGATGTAGCTCGGCAACGATGACGCTGGTCGAACCTCCTTCTCCAATGGTGAGTTTTCACTTTAGAGGCTCGGCAATCGCCGCAGGGGCGTGGGATCAAGGCGGAAGTCGAGCTACTCTTCATGGGTTGTTGAGCTCAAAGAACGATGACCTGCTGCGACCTCTCGCTTTTGGCCCGTTGGTCTGACATCTTAGGATGGGTCGTCGGTGTTTTGCCATGGGAAGTCAGAGCTGCTGGCTGCTTTGCAACCATGCTCGGCAACGATGACTCATGGTAGTGTGTACTCTACCGTGTTGCGTGGGTGGGCTAACCTTTCGTGGTGTTTGGCACCACGCTTGGCTACCTTTGCTTGTATATAAACTTCATTCGTTTTAACTGAAAGGCAGAGCTCCTGCCATTGTTTCAAAAAAAAAATCAGTAATGGTTGAATAAGCAATAAGTTCCTATATGCATTTGGACTGAGAAAGATAATATCCCTTTGCAGAATGTAAAAACTCAATTCCTAAGAAATAACTGAGAGCACCCAAACAATTGCACATCAAGTTGTTTCTTCACATGAGAAATATGTTCCACATCATCTCCCATAATCAACAGCAAAGTACATCCGCGTGGAGAGAGGTGAATACATAGAGCAGGACCATGAGTGCTAGGTCAAAAATCAACAGCCCAAATCATAGAAACAAAGAGATCCACGCAATGGTGACCATCGACTAGTGGTGGCCGAACAAAGATCTGCGACAGGCAGCTACGAAGAAACGCCGGCCAACGGGCCGCAAGCCAGAAGAAATGTGTGATTCTTGTGAAAAAATGGTTGCTGAATTGATTTGGGTCGTGGGTGGAGGATTGAACTAATCCTACCTAACCTAACCCTAATTCTTGCTATTATACCATGTTACTAACCTTGGGATTTGAGAGAATGATCTCCACTAGTGGAGATGACAACTATATATAGAGAGCCTCATGGGCTGTATGGTCCTATAGGATGGGCCTTGACATACACTTAACACTCCAATGGAATTCTAGATTCATAACAATAATATGATTGATCTGAATCGAACACTTTTGAAATAATTGTAGAACCTTTTGAGGATATTTTTAATTTTTATTGCAGTATAATGTATTGGAAATTCATAATACATCAATGCCACCACAAACCAGAATCCAAGCAATAATATAAATGAGCTTATTGTTAGCAGTTAGCATTGCCATGGAAGCAAGCAGATACATACCTTTGACCAATCAAATTGCAGACCAAGGGTGCTCCAACGGAGCTTCCTCACAAGGGTAGTTGCTGCGGTTGACCTATGCTCTTCCCCTTTCTGGCTCTCTGAGTCCACAAATTTGAAGTATTTGTATTCCATTTTCCCTCCACAATTATTCTGTTCATTTCTTTCTTGGATATCAGGATTTTCTGCTTCAACCAATATCTTTTGATTTTCAGCAGCGATGAGTAAGTCAGAAATTGAACCATATATTGCAGTCAAATTAGTCCTATTAGGTGGCTGTGGAAATGTTTTCAAGCTTTCCCTGATCCAACAGCATTGTTCCGCAGTTGATAAAGCACCAGGAATGAAATAGAACCCTACAGAGTTACAGATATGAATACTGATATATCAGAAACATATTTGGTGTAATGACGTTATGATTTGTCAGCCATATGGGAAAACAAGAAATGACTTGCATGTTTTGATGTTTATACACAGATCTGGGCACGAAACGTTGTTTTATTGTAAAACATGTTAAACATGATGATTTGATATTCACATAAGCTTTAGTCCTGATATGTCATCACAAGACTAAAACAGCATTTTCTTCACACAGAGACGACCAAGGCAAGGTTTGCAAAACCTTCCGCTGTTCGAAGTGCAATGTTCAGATTGGCAAGTGAAACAAATATCAAACCGGACGATCTAATTTAGCCCCGAATAAAGAATAGAAGGGAGATCACAGTTACCTGGTCGGTCCAAGAAGCAGAACACAGGGCGGTCGAACCCGGCACAGTCACGCCGACCAATCCCCGCGGGAAGCTCCCCGTCGGCAGCAAGCAGCGCGTGGAAGTCAACTACCGCTGACAGGTCAGCACCACCTCCCTCTCCATCGGATGGCTTGCTTCTGCAGTGTTGGATGATGTCAAGGTTGGGGGCTTTGGGAGAAGAGATGATGATGGCAACCCCAAGAAGGGGAAGAAAGTGGGATCGAGATCCGGACCTGGACCTGGACCTGCCCTTGAGGTTGAGTGGCTTGTAAAGCTTGTACTGCTTCTCGGCACGCCGGAACGCCGTGCGCTCTGCAGCTGTGGGATCGGAAGCGCCATACATTGCCGGCAGTGCTGTGGGGTCAGAAGCGCCATAAATGTGCAATAGTAATAAGCAAAGTACAAGTTCTAGACATAGTGGCATAGTGCCATTGCCTCTAATGATTAAGAAAGATTACAAAACAGCAAGGCTACTACAATATAACTCTACGATCCCCTGTTTGGAATAGATTAATGATATCATCATCTTTCACTTGACTGAAGAATTCCCTCTAAATAAATGTGACCAAGCAATTGTTCAAATATTCATCACCCATTTTATTCCTTTGCTTGTTCTTCGCATAATTCATCGTGGAAAACACTCTTTCAACACTAGCAGTGGCTACGGGAAGAATTAGCACCAACTTAAGAAGGTTGTAAACAACATGATAATTGTTCATGTTTTTTTTGTGTCAACAAGCATAACTGGAACAAGGGGCGAAGCCCAGTTAAGTCCACCAGGTGCCTAGGCACCCAGGCCAAAAACAAAAATACATTGTTACTATCAACATTTCACCCCTTGTGCAGCCCCCTGGGCCAAAACGAGGCACCCCCCACCAAGCTAGTTTGGCCAGCAGGCAACACGTTTGAGAGATTGAGGCCCAACTGCCCAAGCCCACCTCGCACTCGCAGGCTCCTTCCAGGAGAAGGCACGGAGGTTCCCAGGAGACCAGGAGGCCGCAACTTTTCGCTAGCGCGCAGCCGCATATGCCCGCGAGTCCGCGTTTTTTCGCCTGAATGCCGATGGCGATGGCAACGCATGGCCTTGGCCTTGAGCCGTGAGCCGGTGAGCTGCGACGGCTGATGTCCTTCCTTTCCATCTCTACGGCTCTACACAGGAAGTAGCTGTGTAGCCGAGCAGAGCACCGGACAGCGCAACTAGCAGGCGGCGCCCGGCGGAAGAACCCGCCAGCGACCCTCAGTCCCTCACGGCCTCACCCCTCTCTTTTTTCTTTTGAAAAGAACGGCCTCACCCCTCTCTGGCTTTCTCTTCTGGTCCAAAAGAAAAGGCAAGGCATCACATCCGATTCATAGTGTTCAAATTGAAATTGTAGCCTACAGGTTTACTGGTTTAGGGTTAATATTAGCTGGGTTTTTCTCTCTTTTTATATATACATTTATAATAGTGCGGATCTGCAATTTGATTATGCTTGCAAATGTAATTTTCTTGTTTCAGATATTGGAGACAAGACGAGAAAGTTTATTCCGGAATGATTTGATGAGTTTGGAAGTTTCATGACCATGGAAGGAAAATAGCGTAAATATGATCTCTGGTAGGTAATGCAACACGTCTACTCTTAATAGATAATTGTACAGTTTGTTTTCTAAATAATTGACCTATCTATTCTCTTTCCTTTTAGGCTAGTGGGATCTTGATCCTGGTCTCCTGGAGTGGATGACATATTTTGCTAAAGTGCTCAATGTGGTCTTCTTTTTGTTAAATGGTGAGTGTTATTATCATTTACCTCTACCTTATGTTTCGACCAAAATCTCATCGTTATTGCTAGAAGTCAAATTTTAATGTTAAAATATGATAATTGCGCATTAGATATGCTATTTTCTTTGAACATCATATGAGTCACTGTAGTTATGATTAAGTGGGGCAACCCCCATCAATTTGCTCTAGCTTCGCCACTTACTGGAACCTCACATAGGTTCTTCAAACCTTTCATCTCTACAATGAGAAATCTTCAATTCTTACTCTAAAGAATGGATCTGACTGTCAAGAGTCAAGACTGTGCTCACCTTGCTTCAACCGGAGCTCGAGCTGGGACTGGGACTGGGAGGGCCGTAGGGGGCCGATAGGATGTCTGGAGTCCGGACCACCCGGCGCCGGTGGGTGGCCGTCGAGTGGTCGCCGCCGCGGCTGCGCTGCCGGGCGTGGCGCTGGCTGCTGGGGTTGGGGCGCTGCCCCGCTCGGCCTGGGCTCGCAGCCGCGCAGGGCCGAGAGGGCTAGCAGGAGGAGGACCGAGCACCGGGCGAGGCTGCCGTCGCCGTGCCGCTGCGCCGCCGGCCGTCGCGGCCACGCCGCCGCTTCCGTCCGCGGTCCGTGTCTCCGCGGTTCCCCGCGCCGCTCCCAGGTGCGCGAGCCGCGAGCTAGCCAGCGAGAGACGGCGATGGGTTTTTTTGGCTTCGTGGGCTGCTACCGCTGGTTTCTATTGGCCTGATGGGCCATATTTGCACATCTAGCAAACTATACATGTTATCTTCCAAGGAAATTATATAAAAAAATTACAACAGTGCATCCGTCCGGACGGATGCCCGCATCTGCACTGTCTCCCCTCGTGCACCTACATCCCGTGCCGCCCGACTGCACGTGGGGAGTTCCCGCTCGCGCTCCCTCCACTTCTCACGCGCATGCACGCGGCCAGCAGCTACAGCAAATGACTACGCCAGCATCCAGAAAGAGGGGAGGGGGCGGCGGATGCCCAGCCGGCGTCGAGAGGAGGAGGAGACATCGAGGCGAAGGTGAGGCAGCAGAAAAACAAAGACAAAGATACAACACCCGATCTGTTTTTGAAACATTCGGATGTAACACTTGCAGCATACGTCTGAAGGCAGATGAAACACATGAAACATGCATCTGAAAACACTAGATGCAACATCAGATCTACTTTTCAAACATCCAGATGAAACACCTGCAACATACGTACAAAAACAGCTGAAACACTCGAAACATGCGTATGAAACACTTGGAAAAACACCTAAAAACACTTCATATGTGTGAAAACATATGAAACATCCAGATGAAACACTTGCAAACATACGTCTGGAAAACGAGATGAAACATTTGAAACATACACTGAAAACATACATGTATAGCTACTGCAACATATACAATATTCTGATCTACTTTTGCAACATCAAGATGAAACACTTGCAACATCTAGATGTAACATCTGAACACTTGAAACATATTCTTACAACACGGGCTTTGCTTGGACGAATGGAGACATGCCGGCGCGGAGGTTGACGGCGGCGCATGGACCTCGCTGTGCAGCAGCGGCATGGGCAACTCGTCGGCAGGCACGACGTCACACGAATTCGCCCCCTCGTCTGCTTGCTGGAGCATCCGTCGTAGAGGCTCATCGGCTCGATTGAGGCGGTCACGACGAGTAGGCCGCCCATGGCGAGGAGGCAGCACGGTGGAGGCGGGGGGGGGGCAGACTGGGCCTTATGGGCAATATTGCGTGGAGGAGGCAGCGCGGGGAGGCAGAGCGGAGGAGGCCGTAGGTGATGGGGCGCGGCGCTTAGGGGTCCGACAACGGCGAGGCATGTGGGGTGGGTGGATGGGCATGGCGACACAGGGAGGAAACGGCGTAGTGAGCATCGGGGCGCGTAGATAGGATAAGCGGATAGGGTCGCTGGGCGACGATGCGTGCAGAAGTGAACGGAGGGAGACGTTCGTCCGTCCGGACATCTTAATTGTATCATTATTGAAAAAATATTACATGGCCATTCGTCGATGCTGTCGCGGAACACAAACTACAAGCGTCTTCATGAGTAGTAATATCACCTTCAGATCAATGACATTGAGAATCTGTAGACAGCGTAAATTAATTATGAAAGCTCGATGCGGTAGAAAGCCAGCTTTAAATTTAAACGAGGTTGAGAGAAGTTGTTCGAAACAGAACCATTGTACGATGTGATATTAGCACTGGGACTAACAACTCGTATGCCAGCACTGCACGTATACGTGGAATATACCAACGTTTGTCACGACTATGATGTATCAAATACGATTAAGTTTTGCCTATGCTAAAGATTGACAATTTGTAGAGATAATTGCAAAGATACAATTGCTATACCTACCTTTTGAGAGTTGATTATGACCATCTCAGGAAATCGGTTCCGTACCGGTCCACAAAGTTAGGTGTTGTTTGGTTCGTTCGGTGTGTTGGCCGCGTAATCAGTTCACGGGATTGAAAGCATCTAGGCCCCTAGTTAGGTTTCGATGATTAATGACAATACGTGATTACTGTGACTAATGTGTGTTTTGTAGAGGCAATTAAGTTAGGTCACGGTAATGGAGATCGATTAGGCAATCATGGTGATCATGCCCCGATGATGGAAATCATTTCGGTTTTCAAAGGATGGACGACAAGGTTAAGGATGGACTAGTTCTGAGTGTCGTTTGGTGTTGAAGAGACATTTAGAGTAGTTTAGGACTTTGTTTTTTCTTTGACCGTACTATTAAGGGGGTATGGACAGGTAGCTTGACCTAGGTGAGTCCAGTGAGTTAGGTGTGGTGCACACTTGTTAAATCTAGCACTAGGTAGCTCCTAAAAAGCCCTTAGATCCATTGGAGCAAACTTCATTCATGCATGATCGAAAGTTGAAAGTGAATGGAGGGTCAAATGTTGATCGGATGCTGGTTCCGGAGTGACCGGACGTTGGCTCAGAGTCCGGTCAATTCATTTGATCAAGGTGAAATCGTCTGGCGCGACCGGACGCTGAGAGGTGAGCGACCGGACGCTGGGTGCCAGTGTCCGGTCGACTCCAGTAAGGTTCAGAAGAGGGAAAATCATGACCGGACGCGTCCGGTCACAACTTAAACACTGGAGTTCGGGGAAAACTAACCGGAGCGTCCGGTCAACATGACCGGAGCGTCCGGTCACCCCGCAGAGGCACATAACGGTTCATTTTTCAGCCGGTGTTATAAATACTTTCTCCATTCGTGTGTGGGGATACTTTTGCTCATTCCAACAGCTGAAAAATATCTTTGAGAGTGCCAAGAAGAGCAAGATCCTAGTGAGGTGATTGAGATTTGAGAATCCTAAAGAGAGCCCTCATTAGTGAAAGCAAGAGTAGCAAAGTGTACATCCACCCTTCTCATTAGGCTTGTCGTGGTCAAGTGAGAGTTCGTGCTTGTTACTCTTGGTGATCGCCATCACCTAGATGGCTTGGTGGTGATTGGGAGCTTGGTGATCATTCGGAGAGCTTGTGGATGATCCAACTAAAGTTGTGAGCGGTTGTGGGTGATTCACCGTGACGGAGTGTCAAAGAATCAACCCGTAGAGAGCA